ACAGGAAAAACTATCCCCCTTTTTTTTACCTTTCCTGTTTTTGCGTATTTGTTGTGTAATGTTATTCTCGGGGATACCATATACAATCATGTTAAAAGTGTACTACCGAAGGTAATAATTAGAATTGCTTAGAATTGCTTGGTATGTTGTTAAATGTCTTTAAATGACTGGCTATTTGAAATATGAATAGAATATTATCCCACAAAAATGGATACATTAGCAGCAACAAGTTGGTTTAACTGTAAAATGACACAGCAGGAGTTATATACAACCCCTGTGTCTCAGAGATTGCCACCCAAATCTTAAGATAACTCAAACAAAAACAGGCTCTCCAAAGATAGAGTTCGAAGTCCATGGGAGAGTACCCAAGTGGTACCATGTCTGAATCACTCCCTTAGATATAACAAAGTGGAAACACTTACCCTAAGAAGTATTCAAATCAGGGAACTAAGGATAGGTGGGGCACATTTAGGTGTAGAAAGTGAGAACTACACCAAAATCTCACTTGGGGAAAATATTGGGGAAATTATTGCTTTTCACCTGAACATCAAAATATATACAATAAAGTATATATATATCTATATCTATATATCTATATCTATATATATATATAGATATATATATATAAGAAAACCCTTTACTTTTGTTGCAGAAGATGTTGAAAGATAATATAGCACATACCATACAATAGATGCTCTGCTTAATTCAAGGTTAATGACTAAGAATGTATTGAAGTCTGAGGTCACTGTGACCGACCAGTGTTAATTTAGTCAACTAAAATGTGTCGTCATATGCATGTTTTCACTGATGAAAACGATATAAAAACTAAGGGGGTTATTCACAAAGCTGCCGAAGTGAATAACCCAGCTGAAGTGAAGTGAGCCGAACGCTGTTCAGCTATTCACTTCTGGCTTATACAGATGATTTCAGCCGTACATCGGCTAAAAATCAGCCGTACATCGGCTGCCTTCGTTCAGCCGATGTGAGCCGAAGTGCAGAAGGACTTTGACTCAGCCGATCCAACATCTGGATTACCTGAGCCGAAGCTCTGGCAGCTCACTCGCTGCCGTCCGCTCCTATCCTCATAGGGGCTGAAAGGCAGTGAGTGAATAGCTGAATGCCGCCGAGCGGCATTCGGCTCAGCTATTCTGCTCAGTACTTCCGAGGTACCGAGCAGAATAGAAAAGAAGAGTAAAGAATGTGAAAAAAAAGTTTCAAAATGATTCTCAAAATGTAAAAAAATAGGAAACTTAAATTTTTTTTAAAGAAAAATACATAAAAAAACAATTGTGTGGAGCTAGCAGTGACAGCTAGCTCCACCCAACTGTTTCCTATTGGCCGTCACCTGCTAGAGTCTTCTAGCAGGTCCTGGGCAAAGAATAACAACTGAGTGAACGCAGCTGTGACATCATGGCCGGCTCCACCCAGTTCTTATTGTTTAATGACTGATCAGTGTCCCCAGGTCACTTGGGGATGCTGATCTGTCATTTCAACTAGGCAGAGCGAGCCGTGAGATCACGGCTGGCATTGCCCAGCTGTCATTTGCGGGGCAAACAGCCGGCCCTTCGGCAGTCCATTCTCCCCGCTTCGGCTGTCACTTCAGCTCAGTCAAGCCACTCGGCCCCCTTTGGCTGCTGTACGAGCTATTGTGAATAGCCCGTACAGCAGCCCTTCGGTACGACTGTGACAGACAGCTATCAATTTTAGAAGGATAAGTCAATAGTGGTAGCTTACATATTTTTTCGGGTGCTGGTTTCCTTCCTTGGAGGTTCAAGTGTCTGTCATTTCTTTATAAAGCCATATATATTAACCTCATAGATTTATACATATATTGAATCTTGACTATTCAGTTTTTAGCAGATAGCAAGCTGTTCTTTAAACATAGTTATTTGATCCACTTTTTCACTGTATATAGTGATTGAACTCCCCACAGACAGTGCATTGCAATGCTAAATGATCCCGTTGTATAATGGTTTATATTATGCAATACTCCCATATTTTTTTTCCCGAAAGAGGGACATAATGTTGTCCTTACAATTTGGCTGTTCCCGAGAGGCTGCAATCATATTTAATCAAACAGGCAGAATATACTATCTAATTTTATATGACATATCCCTTTATTTTCATGTGCAAATTCTAATACATATTATGCTCACTTCACAGATGATTCTAGCAAGGTTTTATGAATATCTTTGCCAACCAAAAGCAGTTATACTCTGATAACAATGATAATATTTCACTTTATGAAGATTATGATTATTGAGAACCATGTAATAAAAATGTCCATAAAGTAATTGGAATTGTTTCCCAACTACTGTTTTGTTGGTTGGTAAAAACTTTTATTTCGAACTGTCATTGTACTGTGACAATGAGTATACTGACCTGTACACCCTAAAATAGCTCACCATCTACATGTATTTACCACACTGGACCCTGACTGGCAAACAGGAATGTAAGTAATCTATTTTTAAGTGCTAGTTAACTCATTTGGCCCTTTAAATGATTCAATTTAATGCATGAGTGGTAATTGTTAGGCTTTGTTTCCGCTCTACATTTGTGGAATTTAAATGCCGCTTTTCTGCACACTTTACTCTCTATACACTGCTTGAACTGATTCTTATTTGTCATTTTTGTCATTAAAGTGCTAAACAATGCACCGATGACACAGTATAAATAGAGAACTAATAGAAATGTGTCACGTTTTCCATTCAATGATGAATTTTAAAAATGAGCTCACTTGGAGCTGAAATATATATGGTACATATAGTCCAGTAGATTTTAAAATTTAGCTTGGCCTAAATACAGCAGCAGCAGCACCCCAGTCTGATTTTTTTCAACTTAAAAAAAAAGGCTTTTTTGAATAGTTTTGGCTGCAACACCTGATTTTTTTTTTAATCCAGCAGTAATAGGTAGGATAGGACAGTTAAAAAATATAATACCCCCTCCACCAAACTTTACGCTTGGCACAATGCAGTCAGGCAAGTGCCGTTCTCCTGGCAACCCCCAAACCCAGACACATCCTTCAGATTGCAAGACAGAGAAGCGTGATTCGTCACTCCAGAGAACAGGTCTCCACTTCTCTAGAGTCCAGTGGGGCGTGCTTTACAGCACTGCCTCCGACGCTTTGCATTGCACTTGGTGATGTCAGGCTTGGATGCCGCTACTCAGCCACGGAAACCCATTCCATGAAGCTCTCTACGCACTGTTGTTGTGCCAATCTGAAGGCCACAGGAAGTTTGGAGGTCTGTAGCTATTGACTCTGCAGACAGTTGGTGACTTCTTTGTGCTTCAGCATGCGCTGACCCAGCTGTGTCATTTTACTTAGCCTACCACTTCGTGGCTGAGTTGCTGATGTTCCCAGTTTCTTTCACTTTGCTATAATACCGCTAACAGTTGACCGTGGAATATTTAGTAGCAAGGAAATTGCACGGAACACCTTAATCCAATGATTTGGAGGGGTGTCCCAATACTTTTGGCAATATAGTGTATACATACTTCATGTTTGTATTTAGGTTTTTGCCTGGAGGTTTGCTTTAAGTAGTGTTTTTCAATCTGAAAAGTTAAAACTCTATATATAAACCATCCAGTAGATTAGCATAAGCTTTGCCTGCAGAGCTGTGTTTGCACAGCTAACAAGTCAGCTAGAAAATGTCAGTCCAAAAAAAGAATACAATTTTGCAATACCTGTGTAGACTTAAAGATCTAACTCTGAGAGCAGACAAACAAGCAATAGACTGGACTACTGTGAGAAGCTTTTAGTAAGTCCTAAAAGAAAAGATGAATTGCGTGCAAATATTGTATAATTGAGCTGTACCTATTCAGCCTTATTTCAGCCAATGATCTATTGCTTTGATGAGACTGCAACTTTTATAAGAGGGTAAGAAAGAGTTGCATATAGAACTGAGCCAACTTTACCTCAGGAAGGAGTTCCAGGATTCCTCAATCCTGGAGTAAGATAGGTCTATGTATCAGAACCTAGTTGCACTTTATTTGTGTAAACTGCTTTATAACATTGCACTCACATTTGTGTGGTGTGGCATTTCATGGACCAGGTTATTTATAGAGTGCATGTCAGTTTAGAGAGTGTTCTGGAGATAATGTGCAGATTGTAGTGGTACTGGCCAGAACACCATTTTACCTGCATGATGAAGTTGTCTGAGCTAGATAGTGGCATCTAAGTTTCAAGACAATGCCCTCTTTGTATCAGCCTAAATAATTGTATAGCTTGTGAACTGGTTGAAACTATTAGGGGTGCTGACAATGCATGTAGCCTCATTGTGTATGTGTGGCAGTCCTTGTGCAATTAAATTAAGCCCATCTATCACCCTGTTGGCAATCCCTTGAGAAAAGGGGAATATTGAAGTAAGGAGCTGTGAGACTCTTCATTGAAATGTTTGAATATTTTCAAATGTAATGTGGTATAGTTACAGTCTACTAATAGCTCTTATTTTTATTATTGATTTAAAGTCCCACTTTGCAGCAAACAATGGAAACCTACCTTGAAATAACCTGCTTAACTGTAGTATATGCTAAGTCATGGATAATTAAAATTGTGCTGCACATTTAGAAAGGCAGTTTGTGCATAGATATCTGCATTAATAACACCTGGAGATGCGCTTTTCACCCAGTATGCCCAGTACTTTTCAGTGCATGTAGGACAACTCTTAGTGGTCCTGTATTACTGCACTGTAAGCAGAAAAATGTGGAAATCATAGAAAATTTTCATCTAACTCGACTGCCTTTTTTATTTTTGCTAGTCATTTTGTTTCAAAATGATCTTTTATACCTGCTTGTACTTAAACACATATTATTATCAAACACATTCATACAAAAGTTACCATGGTATCATTCAATGGAAATTTTAGACTTATTCAGGAATCAAGATTAACAATAAAGCAATCATTTTGCTGAAATGGCTTTCAGAAAGTACACCATTGCCATAATTTCTTATATTATACAGTATATCATTTGTTATATTATACATATAAAATATGTTATACCTGGATTCCAATTGAGGAACGGCACTTTTTAGGGAAGTCATCTGTCTTGTTTACTAGAACAGCCTTGTCACTGGTGCTCCGGACAGAACTGCTTTTACTCTCTGAGGCATGACGCTGTGCTGCAGCTGACTCCAAGGCGAGGTTCATAGCCTTGTTGCTATCCAGGCTGTCTGTGGAATTGTAAAGTCCCCGGCCATCTAGAGGCCATGGGGACATCCTTTGAGTCCGTTCATGATAGGCATCCTGGGTAGATTCTGTGCTGCTTTGTGCTGTCACTGAGATGAGCGGTTTGGAGGTTGTGCGCGGGGGTACAGGCGGAGGTGTTTTCTTATAATTTGGATATGATATAGCTGAAAAAATGAAGATAACTCTTATATGCAGCAATTGTAAGTTTGTTATTCCAATACTATTTTGAACTATCATTTATTTGACATAATATTAATAAAAGACCAACAACAGTAAGAAATACCTTTACAATTACCAATAACATTACTTTTTTCTTTCATTATGGTAACATAAACCTTCTACTTACTTATTAAAGGGGGTCTAATAATTTACTTATGGCAGCCTATTATCTTCAATGATAGAGCTAAAGGAACTGTAGAGGTTATTGCTCCACTGAATTTTTGTAAGTTTGCATAATTATTAAAAGTTTTATTCTTTTTAATGATTTATTTACATTTAAATTTTACTAAAACACTTATTACAGTGTTAACACATGACTGTCTTATTGCAAAGCTTGCTCAACATTGTTACAAGAAAGAACATGACTATCTATGAATTCTGGCAGATTGCATTAATCCAATAGTTAAGACTAATCCAATAGTTAAGACAAGGCTAACAGAGGATGGAGGGGGTATGTCCCCCCTCTAAATAATTCAGGTTTAAATGATTTTTAAATTCACAGAATATACAGGTGAAACTCGAATAATTAGAATATCGTGCAAAGTTCATTTATTTCACTAATGCAACTTAAAAGGTGAAACTAATATATGAGATAGACTCATTACATGCAAAGCAAGATAATTCAAGCCGTGATTTGTCATAATTGTGATGATTATGGCTTACAGCTCATGAAAACCCCAAGAACCCCAAATCCACAACCTCAAAAAAGTAGATTATTACATGCAATCAATAAAACAAGGATTGTACATAGAACAATATCGGACCTCTGAAAAGTACAAGCATGCATATGTACTCAGTACTTGGTTTGGGCCCCTTTTGCAGAACTTACTGCAATTACTTTTGCACAATATTCTAATTATTTGAGTTTCTCCTGTACTATCCTGTTAGAACATCAGCATTGTAATAGTAATGCATACTAGAGTTGTTTTTGATAATGCAAAGCTAACTTGAAAAAAATCCTTTTTTGTAGTAAGTGCAGCCTTCCGTTTACCCATCAACAACTTCATGTATTCCTGGGGTGCTTTTTGTCTCTTTCCCTGCTGCCTGACATGATGCAATCTCGATGTCAGGAAGCCGGGTGTTGGGTAATGAACCGCCTCCCGCCTTCCTGATTGCCCAGGAAGCCTCCTTAATGCTGTTTGGCTGGCTCAATGCTGATTGGCCGGGAAGCTGACTTCCCACCCAATTAGCATCGAGCCAGACAAACGCCAAGCTCACACAGGGCTTGGCGAACAAATTGCCTGGGAGCTAAGTGGCGTAAAAAATTTGGATTTGAACTGTTTGGGATATATTGAGTGCTTGATTTTTTGAATACTTGTTGTCTCCCTTCCTTTTTAGACCCTTTTTTAGTATTTAAAAACTCTTTTTCCTTTTCTGTCAGTTTTTTTAAACTGTTCCCTTTTTTTTAACGTAATTCCGTATTTCGGATAAAAAAAACAACTACCACCGACTCCAATATTAACAAAGGTATTTTGCTTTTTAACTTCAATATAACAAATGTGCGTAACGGAACGAAAATCCATTAACGAAATTTTGTATTTCCTGCCTGTATTGTAATGCAACTCTCAGCAGCAGAAGAGAAAACCTCTGATTGGTCAACCAAACGAAATACGAATTCCGTTAACGGATTTCAGATCCGAATTTCGGATAAAAAAAACAACTCATAAATCTGATTAAAAAAAAACTCGTAAATCTGTTATTTTCAACTCTCTTTAATAGACCAAGCTGCCCAGTAAATGTGGTAGATTTGAGACAAAGTGGCAGGGTTGAGACAAACCATTTTACACGGACAGTGTTAGCTGGAGTTTGGATTTAATTTGCTAGTCAAATCAACCTAAATCTGCTTGTGCATCTAACACTTTCCTCTTCACAATACTTGTGTCCAAGGGTGGTTCTGTTGCTCCTTCATAGAGTGGAGCCACCCTAAGACGGGAAGAGTGTTGCTGGCTGGTTCACAGGTGAAAATAAAGGAGAAGGCTTTAAAAGGAAAACTACTGTAGCCACTACATTTAAGGATTGGTAAACTGCAATATGTAATTTTTTTCAGGTTTAGATCCACTTGAATTTCTTAAATTCATGCTTCCATTCCTATCTGGCAAGAATCAGCAGTTTTGAAGCCATTTACTTAATCTCTGACACTTGTTGAGATTCTGGGGTGCATAGAAACTACATGGAGTTGGATAGCAAATCATGGCTCTGTACAAAGAATTATTCAATATGGCAAGCCAGCCTAAGTTTATTACAATGTAACATTAATCAAGACACTGACAGACCCAGCAAAAATGTTGCTGTATCTAATTAGTAAATTGTTGCATGTCCAAGCATTCTTTTGTAACAGATGCTCTTTAACAGTATGTATGGTAAAATTCCAGAAATAATTTAATTTAATAAGGTAAATAGCATCAAACAAAACACAGTAATAATAAGCAACCAGCCAAAAACCATCTTTAAGTATTCTGACCTCATTAAACTGCTGAAATATAACTGGTTGGTAAGAAACACTTACCCAATGGTTAAACAAATCTTTACTGATCTAAAATTTAGCAAGCTGTTACTGGCAAACATCTAATGGTTAGGCCCTCATCCTAGCTTTTTATTTCCCCTACACAAGAAGCACGATGATACTATATTTTAAGACAAAGAAGGATGGAGTTACTGGCTTTGTGGAATTACAAGTGCCTGGAGATTTCTTATTGATCAGGGAAGCTTCTCCTGTGTCCTAGAACATGCATTTCCCTGGCTTAAAAGCTATGCTTTATTTACTGCCATCCCCTTCTCCTATGATAATGCCTTTACTGGCCTTTGTTGCATTCTCAGTGAACAGCAGATGGTTAGGGCATAGCCATGAAGTCAAGGAAAATTAGGCCCCGATAAAGTACAGTGGGGCAAAAAAGTATTTAGTCAGCCACCAATTGTGCAAGTTCTCAACTCAAGGGCATAGAAGAAGCATTTCTAGATCATAAAGGTAACCGCATGCATCATGCCGTGTCTGCTCTTAGGCGGCACTTCTACTTCAAACTTTAAATTAGAGCAGAGACTCACAAAAAAAAGAACAAGAAACATTTTTTAAATATATTTCAGCTTACCAGTCCTTAGTTGTGGAGGCTGCTTAAGGATTTTAATTTTTTTAGGTAAAACGCATTTTCAGCAAGTACAGAAAATATCTGATCTTGTTAGAAATGCAGTGTCCTTGTAACCTCCTGTGAGCGGTACTGAAGACAAAAAAAAATTATTTTTCCTATGTAAATTACAAATCCCATCAGCCACAACGTAATGAAGATGAAAAGTGGCAGATATGTTTGAAGTCCATCTTGGGTGGCAAGTCAACCTTGGCTTCCTCCAAGGAAGTATGGTATTTGCAGGTTTACCAGGTGCAAATACTTCTAGAGATGGGTAAGCTTCAGTATATTATATTTTAGTTTTTTGGAGTTAAAACACTAACTGCTCAAGCACCCCCCAGCAATGTTAAGGGGTTTCTAGAACGCAGTTACTTTCAATAGTTGTACAGCTTGGCCTTAATGTAATGTGTTCAGTCCTGTAGGAGCTTTTGCAAGGAATGGATTTTCAAGGACATTAGCTTGGAGTCCCATTGTCATTACTAAATTTAGGTTATTCACATTATCCTTTACCCTTAACTTTTATGATTTAGATTCTTAGATAATGTAGAATTATAATCAATTTTTTTTCTATTTGGATAAAAGGGGTATGGTTCTACCTTTGTCTGTGTTCGTATTGTGGAAATAACAGTGACTCTCTTTCAAAAGTTTAAATGATCTTTTTCTCAAAAACAATTGACAAAATCATGGTTGGATTTGATGGAATTTTCCATCAGGATCATCACTTTTCAATTAAAACAATCAGTTAAATGTCAAAATGATCATGTATTGCATGTGAATTCTTAAAAAGTAAGGGGTTTTATTGAAGGACCATATTGAACATAAAGGCAACAAAGCATAACCCAGTTCATCAGTTAAGAAGATTAAGCTGGGCAGTTTTAGTACTTTGTTTTGGATTTGTTAAAGACAAATATAGTCTACTATACTTGGTAGTTACTTCACAGTTACTCATATTCTTTATTATTACATGTGACTTGCTCCTTTGATTGGTGGGTTCTAATTTTTAGGGGCCTTTTCACAAAATTAAACTTGTTCATCTCATGTTTATTTTATAGTCCTTTAAATAAACATTGTTACCTGTATAAAATATTTTGAGATGTAGAAAATATAACAATCCTTTCCCTAAGACAGTATGCTAGACATGAAAAGACTTCTTGTTACAGTATGAGGTCTTGTCGAGGGCCATCAGCAGTACTGTGATAACATTTATGCAAAATAACCCGAAGCCATATTAGAGCAGTTGGGTAAATAAATTAAATCTTTACTGTTTAGTCGTATTTAAGCAAAGGATACATAATGAATAATATTTCATGAAATGTTTTTAGGCACAAGCTAAAGACACTACAAGTCGCCAATTAAGTTAATCTCTGTTCAATTATCTGTTGGAGGATTAAAAATGCTTTTGAAGGCAGAGCTGACATTATGGAACTAATTTAAGAAAACTGGAGGAGAATTTGCATGTGCTGTTAATCTGTAACCTATTTGAACTAGTTGGATACAATACTTTAATCACATGTATAACTGTATTGCATTTTTAGGACAAACTGGAAGCTGATTAGAGTTCACATAGCCCAACTAAATCCCTTCAGATCTGCAGGTTAACACAACGCATGTGGATGTTTGTTTGCTGCTTACTGCTTATTCAAACTGAGAACTGTTTAATTGTGAACTATTGTATTTTGTGGTAATACACATTTGCACACAGGTATATGTGCATTGCAGAGTGCTGCCATTCATTTTCAATGACATTCCAACGCACATACACAGTTATTTATAGTGCACCACAATGCACCAATGTGAATATTCTGTGCTTTATTGTGCATTGACAA